ATCGAAATATCGATTTGGAAATCCTAGAACATTTGACATACACGGAAATAGGTTGGCATGATCCACATAGACACTGCAAATTTCTTTGGGCATATTTCGATACTACAGATATTGAATTAGTCTTGGGTGATCAAGTAGAAAAATAATCTGATCTCCAGAATGATTTCAGAACCTATAACATCTTGTAATATACGTAGCAATAGGTCGGGTACAATCCACATAGACACTTTGAATCTGTTTGGACATATTTCGATACTACAGACATTATTGCAGTCTTGGTTGATATAGTAGAACAAATCAACTGAACTCCAGGACGGTTTGGAGAATCTAGAATATCCGGTATACATGGCAATTACTCGCATATATACGATTCGTTTATGATTTGACAACGAAAAATGCTATGTTCATATTGGAAATAAAAAAAAAACATGATAATGTCTCACATTGGACAAACCTCAGGGAATTTCCGTGTAAATCCGGTATGACTTATGGAATTAAGATCATTTCTAGATTATTTGCAGGGTGTTTAGTTTGAACCGGTAAAAAATTGAAAGCCAAATGAACAACAAAACTTATGACAGCTAAATAATACGGGACGGAAAGGTTACAATGAATTCTACAATTTGTGTGACAGTACATCATTCAATTCGCTATTTTCGCGAGATCATTTAATGTTTCCGCGATTTTCGCGACTGAAACTTCAAATCCGCGACAAATCCGCGAAAATCGTGAAATCCGCGAAATTCGCGATATCCGCGCCTGTTGTAACAGCCCTGAAAATCGTGATAATTTTCCTAAAAATTACTATAAAAAATTCGCTAATAAAATGAATTTTGCAATTTTTGTGATAGCGTATCGACAAGCAAACTGCGAAAATAGCGAAACCAGCGCCTGTAACAGCACTGTAATTGCACTGTCATTGTCACTGACAGACTCTGACAAAATTGTTAATCACATAGTCACTGATAGACTTGATCCTCAAAAAAACCTTTGTCAAAATCTCATTCATTTTTTTGTCGAGAGATTCACCTGGTAACAAAAAGTGCAATCTCGTGCATTTTTTTTTTTTTTTTTTTTTTTTTTTTTTTTTTTTTTTTTTTTTTTTTTTTTTTTTATAGTCACTTTAACGCTCTTGGGTCATTCGTGACTTGTCCGGGGGTGAGATTTGAACTCGTGACTTTGGCGTGAGAGGTATGGATGCTAACCACGGGGTCACCCCCATCTCGTGCATTCTGAGTCACATTATTGTGTTGTTCAGAACGTAGATGCTTCTGCACTTTAACGGCTCCATGTAATTGTTTTGCTCAAGTCATTTAATTTAGTTTCAAATTTAGCTGATACAAAAATATGCACATGTTTGTCACCGACAGCATTGTCACTCACAATTGACATGGTTTGCCTTGTATATGACTGTTCGCTCAAATGAATTTTGAATATCGCCGTGTATTGTCGAGATTTTGCAGCACTGCCTTCAGTTGTACTTCGAAACGCATTGATTACTTTAAGTAGGATAAGTGAGCCAGTTATGGTACTAGTGCTCCAGTTTTTGGCCCTAGGGTCTATCACGAATTTAAAATAAATTGTCATGGCTTTATTCGCGTATACATATGACAAAATGTATGTTCTTGCCCTGCTTGGAAAGAAAATTGGTAAAAAATGATTAAAATTGAAAATTAAGATAATGGCAATTGGGCCAAAAACTGGTTCACTTACTCTACTTTTGCTTGCATTTTAACTCCGACGAATCGGTTTTTTGTATTGCGTGCCCCTCGCAACAAGAACAACAGCTTTATAATAGCCAAAAGGCAACACTCAATATGACCACCAATTTAATCTTGTTCTTATGACCGCGAGTAATCGGTTCAGTTCCTTTAAATCTAGATTTAAGACATCAATTATGTATAACGCAAATGATAACTTGGCTCTGTAAAGTTTATTCGATTGAGAATGTACAAATAAATTAATTAATAAAAAATAAAAAAAATAATCTTGTTCTTGAATTATCATATATTTTTTGTGTTGCATGATGAGGCTTCAGTAAGATTCAGTTCATTTCATCGAGGGCACCCAGATCCTGGATCCTGGATACTCAACATGAACGCCAATAATGATATTCTTGAATTCCCATGTTTTTTAACGTGTCACTTTATGGGATTTGGTTCATATCAGAATCTGACCACTTTCTCATTGGGCCCCCGAAAATGTCAATAACAATAACTATCTAGTTTTTTGTCATTGAATTTTCATGAGGATTTTAGGGCCGCATGCTGGTTTTGATCGAGGACAAATTCTGGCCACATGCCCAGTGGTATTTGGAATGTCTGGTGGGTGAAATCAGTGATGAGGTAAAGTCATTGATTGTCGTTGATTTTCATTCAAGCAATACAAGAACCATGTCAGCCCCTTCACAGATCAGACTTTTATCCTTCAATAATTTCTCATAACCGTAATTTCAAATCATTCTCATTCATCTTCAATATGGATGTTGAAAAGCGCATAAGTTTTGTAGAACATTAGAAAAGATTTTCAAAGAGGCGGCTGACAAGAACGGGGAAACATTATAACAAGATTGTGTAGAAAAAAAAAACATAATCCATAACTTGTACATTTCATTTTTCATTTTGCAGCGTTTGGTGGGGCAATGGGAGCGCAAGTCAATCCAAAGCCGAGGATAAAGGACGGGTAATGGCTGAATAGTCTATGCGGACCACTTGAACGCCATGGGAAAAGGAAGGGATTGAAGAGGCCGGTTATTGGGGGGTTTTGAGGAAATGACACATAGTGATGCTAAATGTAAAGAAACCGAAAATCCATCTCCCACTGATTCATCCTTTCACATATAAAGAGATGAACTAGCCTCAGGCTAAAAATCTCTATAATAAAGAAAAAAAAAAAAAAAAAAAACCTTTCACATATATACCAAATTGATATTTTAAAGCAATAATCAAAATAAAATTAAATAGTTCGTCCCAGGTAACACCTTCATGTGACTAAAATGCTTCATTTTGAAGTAAGTTTCCTAGCTGATTTTTAAATTATATAGGGTGTATGCTCCAACTATGCTCACACGCTTCCACTATGTCGCACCACAAAAATACGTATGAGTTTGTCACAATAGAAGCACGCCACAGTGGAAATCCCGAGCCACAGTTCAAACACTTATCCCAAATCAAAATGAAGCACATATAAGATTAGTTACAATACCATGTACAAAAATGATGTTTAACATTGTTTCCTGAGTAATACTTCAATGAAAACAACAACGAAAGCTTGTCACGCAAGTAGAAGGAGCATTGTTGGGCACTTTCTGAAATATTTCAATAGTATAATTCCCTTGCAAACCCAAATAAATCTATCTGCGTAAAAATTAATAAAATAAGAGTGATTTGCGGCAAAACCCGCCAGTATCGCACCCAACGTCAGTGCCTATACGTAAGCGTACTACAACGCGGCTTTCAAATAAAGGAGTAACAAGTGTGATACTATCACTTCAGGCTAGAACTTTGGTTCTCTTATGAAATGGTTCATCAGAGAGGGGAAGCTCAGTAATCCTCATCGCATGCTCATGACGCTATTCTGTCACGGCATGAGCCAACGATGCCGGACCTAAACCAACCGTCTCCAACGCTCCACTATGAAGCATAAGATTAGGCCCGCCCACCAACGTCCAGGTTAAAAAACTAGCCAAGGGGAGGGAAAAACATAATCCATAACTTGTACATGCATAAAAATAGAAGTACAAACTGTAATTTAAGTGACCGAATGTTAAGGTTCATTGATTTCCATCAAATTCCCAGGAATTTCCCGGTTATTTTTCAGTTTGCCAGCCACCATGCAGGGTTAATAGATAACCGTTGATAGCGTCTGTGTTATTGCCTGCAATGCAAATTTACCATTGCAGACGATAACACTGACGTTCATACAGAGGAATAACATGTTACAAAGGTTGTTATAAAAATTATCAACAAGCAAAACGTTATCAAAATAGCCGTATAACATGTTATAACTCCGTAGTCTGAACATAGCATTAAGCAAAGTTGACCTTGTTTACTCCCAATGACGATAAGTTTTGTAAAGTTTTTCTATCTCAAACAATTTGAATACCCACTCATGAAAAGAACATGATAAGATAAAATGTGCACTAAGATAGTTAAAATTGATCGCCACCTATTGCATCGTCTAGAGGCGATTACTCATTCTCGGTTTATTACTTGTTAAAACATCTAAATTCACATTTCACCCACACATTATGAGCAATATGTTTTCTCTATTCATAATTAGAGATCTCTATCTAGCAAAGCAGTTCCATGAAAGAGAGAAAGAAAATATTTTTCTATTTTCTATTTTCTGAAAAAGGGGAAACTCTGATTCCCTTCGTTTTGTCAGTCCCTCGCCAATAGCGGCAAGACGGCAGAATGCAAGCCTGTGTAATCGATAATCGTACACTCTCCCTGCCGCTGCTACTGCTCCTGCTGATGTTGCAGCATCATTGTGTTGTGCATCGTGTACCGCGTACGAATAAGGCATGCTTTATCTGTATAGGTCCCAATGTACCGTATGGTGGGTACCTATCTTCCTCTTCCCCGATGACTCGTTGCTGTTGTAATTGTTTTGCAGTAGGTAGGTACCTATCTCTGATGTTGATGCTGTATGATGGCGATGGCGAAACAAGACTACACTGCTCTCGTCTACGCAACACAAACTGTGCTCGGAGCATTCTCCGGAAATATGCACATATAGGTATAGACCATGAATGAAAACTGCAATGACCCTCCCGTTCTGCATCTGCGGGCTTGTCCGTACATGCTCGGACGAGGTACAACGGGTGTTTTACTTACGAATAGGTTCTATACACGGGAACAAACAACTTGTAGTATCATCGTAACCGTAGGTCACGATATCGTCAATTGATATTCTATGGAACATTGGTAAATAATGTAGGAACAGCTCAACCTTCAGTCACACCGATAGAATCAACATTCAAAGTTTAAGATACTTACCACTATGTTCTGTGAAGATGTTCGATCCGAGAATGCGAGAGTCTTTCGGGACACGAGATTTGTTCCGGCTGGAACGAATCGAGCTACCGGCTCCCAAAGAGGAACTAGTTCCTCCGCCTACACCCCCACCACCAACACCACCACCGGAGGAACGCTCCTTCACCTGCTGGGCTCCCATTTTTGGCAGATGGCGCAATGCTATCTTTTCTCTAGCACGAATGCCTTCGAATGAACGAGAGAAACTTCAGCGCCCCAGACGGGTCGCCTGCATTCCAGACTCTTTCCCCGGAAGCTTCCGTTACACACCTTTTCACCAAAACCTTGTTTGCTTGGTTTCGTTAAACCTTTTCGTCTCAGAATACAGATACCTAGATATAATCCGTGATTTTTCTTTTCAACAATATTTTACTTCACAATCTTCACTTCCTTCAAGACTTCTTTCTCTTCTGCTTCTCAGCGTACCAACTCACACCGAAATACTACACACACAGAATTCAACTTCTCCCTTGCCCGACTCCGGCACCAGTATCAGGAGCAACTTTTCTTTTTCTTCTTCACCGCAAATCGCCCGTGTCTGGAGCGAATAAAAACTTCAACCAAACCCAAACCCGTTACTTCCGGATTCAGAAGTAATCCGTGGCCCACAACGCTGGCCTCTATCCAATACGAAAAATCTCTTCTTTTTAAACAATTTTTCCAGCTCTGCCCGGCTTGTTTCGTCTGTGAAATGGGAGATGCCAGACGCAAAAAATTCCCCAAAAGGTTCACTTCCTTTTCTCCTCCCTAGATGGATGCTTTTTTTTCTGTATGTCGAACACCAAATTTTTCACTGCTTCACTAGACAACTGCTGGAAGAATCACTCCCGACATCTCCTCATGCAGATTCGCACACTCTCGGGATATTAATTATCCGATTTCTAATGCAATTTACTTGATCTAGCGTAGCAAAGGAAGTAGAAAATAAATATGGTCGCGGATTCCAACTAATAAAATTGTCCCGGAGCAAAACCAACTCGACTTTGGAGATGGACGTCCACTCGATTGGCTTTCGCTTTGCAGACTCGACTATTTCGGCTTGGCTCGGTTGATGGAAAACCTCGTCTGTTTCTCTCAGCAATCTCTGGCAAGGCACATGCAAAAGCAAGGTGCGGCAAGAGTTTTCCGCTGAGTTACAGAAATTCGCGATGATTCAGCTCGGTGAGCATTTGTTTCGAGGGGTCTTTTAATGTATAGACAAGTGCACGGATGGATTTGAGTTCACTCACTCGACAAAAAGTGACACAACAGCGGGGCCTTGTTTACTAAAAATGAACACATATGTGTTCATTTTTAGTAAACAGGGCCCCGCTGTTGTTTCACTTTTTATCGAGTGAGTGAACTCCGTGTGAATCGCCGTATTTTATTTATATTTTTATCCGGTCTAGCTCACGGATGATCCGGTGAATGCAGCAGGGATTTGTTTTGAAAACTGGTCGAATAGAAATTAATAAAGCAAACTTTTCAATTCTCGTTTTGCGCGTTTTTATATTTATTTACTCACGTTATTCAAAAACTAACCAGAAACGAGTAGAAACCTACCCCCGAAGAAGTTGTTTTGACAGTTTTGACAATTTTTGATTTGAAAATCTGCACTTTTAAAACTACAAGTTAAAATCAAAACATCTACTTTTGGATTGAAAATAACCTTGTTGTTTCAAATATTTTCAAAGTTCAAGTAACAAATTTTGGGGTACTTTTAAATTGAAAGGTTAATATTTTTACTGATACAATTTTCGTTTTTTGTGTGTAGTTTGTCATCCAAGTGTATCCGCGGCATTACCAACAATCAATACGAAACTAACGATTTTAAATTGGCTCACAACTTTAGTAGCCTATTGGTCCCAAGCAAACGATTAACGTACCCTATTCTAGTTGAAATTCTATTACTACACTATGTTTGTTTTGATTCGCTATGAAAGTTTGACAGATAACATCAGGGGTGTGTGGATTCATGCAGAACATGCAGGGGTGAGTGAAATAGCTTGGGACTGCTTGGGACCGTTGTTCTGGTACTGAGTGAGCCAAAAATAATAATGATTTTCTTCGGGACCCAGTGGTCTTAGAGTTACCTCTATGGCATTACGGTGAATAAAAAGAACTCAGCACAATCAGTTACCCTTGCAGTTACCACTAGGGTACAATCCAGTATTTTACGATCTCTTATGACCGCCACAATCTGACTGAGTTTCAGGTAAGGAACATAAGATTTGAAGTTTGGGTTGTGTCGTTTGACGTGTAAACGATCACAACCCAAACGTCAAATCATATGTTCGCTACCAAAAACTCAGCCATAAGCGCTCGTAAAATGCTGGATAGAGTACCGAGTTTTCAGTATTCATTATGTTTTACGGAACATCTAACGAAATTCCAAAATTTCTGACCTCAACAGTAAATCAACGTGTTTGCGTCATCCTCCTTCGTTTCAGCTCACGCACTTGACCTCCGAAATCTCTGTATGACAGTTGTCTAGCAGAGCTTCAATTTTATTTACAACAATCCAATGCCTACGAGATTGTGCGTCAGGCGAGGGGGGCGACTCTATCTAATACCCCGTTCACATTACAGCCTATATCACGTAATATAGGCTGTCTTGCAATGAGCACTCATACATAGGATTTCCAGTGAAAACTAGTAGGTGCGTTGCATTTATTTTAAACCCTCAATATAGTAATTTCTACTGCAAAATTCCTTTCAGTGTATCGTTAAAAAGGGGCACAATTTGACTAAGGAAAACATTAATATCCTGCGGACTGTATCTTCACCTTGGAAACTAGACGTAGCCGAAAGTCTAGAAATATTTAAACATAATCCATCAACATTGCTTAATAGAGATCAAGGAAACGGATACTCGAGACTCTTTAGCATGCTACCTAAAACAACACATCGTAACATGAATCTACCTGTTGGAGACTGAATTTAGGTACCTGTTTAGGTAAATTTTGACATGGCAGTGGATACCTGCTGATTTTTAGTACCTATTGATTAGTATATAACTCGTAGATTAAAGATGGATTCTTCAGTGGTGTTGAGTACTTGGCACTGATGAAGTCTGCAAGTAGTAGACGAAATACGCGTATCTGTCAAAAGATAAGCAATTATAACGGAATTAAAAGGAAATAAACCAACCCACTCAAAGCTCTTCATAAAGGGATTCCGTTAAGAGGTTCGACAAATTTAAAGGATTAAATATTTATGTTAGAATTAAATTCAAACGCATGCATATTTATTTCAGCAATATAGAATTAGGGTAAACAACTTATATCGTGTCCTTTTCTCCTTCTTGTTTACGTTCGGCAAACTCAAATGAAAACGGCCCACAAGCAGCGGAACCTACGTAATGATAGTGGTTACCATGGGACTGTCTTCAGTATAATTTTCCAGACTACTTATCTCGATTTTGAGTTCTTTCGTTATTCGCGCTATGAAAGTATCCAAAATCAAGTGTTGTGATTGCACTTCGTTTTGGATGAAGAATCGAAGGGTGCGCCATATGTATTTTATTTTTGTTTTTTATTTTTTTTGTCACCTGGCGAAAGCAATACATCAATAGTTTTAATTCAGTGAATTTTGTTCGGAAAAAAATGATTAACTTAATATGGAAAGTTAAAATATATTGAAATTTTTAATTGCCAGGATCTCAAGAGATATGGAATGGTGTCCGGATCTGAAGATGGAAGTTTCCCGTGTACCGCTGGGCATACGTAGCTAGTCCAGTATTTACGTCACTTATTCCGAACACTGCCTGCGTGATTGGATTTGGAGCATCTCATATGCTAAGAGAGATAAGAGTAGTTGATAAAAAATTTCTGTGTACTAAAGTAAAACCAACAATCAATACGAAACTAACGATTTTAAATTGGCTCACCACTGTAGTAGCCTATTGGTCCCAAGCAAACGATTAACGTACCCTATTCTAGTTGAAATTCTATTACTACACTATGTTTGTTTTGATTCGCTATGAAAGTTTGACAGATAACATCAGGGGTGTGCTGATTCATGCAGAACATGCAGGGGTGAGTGAAATAGCTTGGGACTGCTTGGGACCGTTGTTCTGGTACTGAGTGAGCCAAAAATAATAATGATTTTCTTCGGGACCCAGTGGTCTTATAGTACGTTCAGACTACAGAGTTATAACATGTTATAGCGCTATCTTGATGGTCGTTTCTGTGTTGCAATTATTTGACAACCGTTATAACATGTTATAACTCTCCAGTCTGGACAGCGTTTTATAGTACGTTCAGACTACAGAGTTATAACATGTTATAGCGCTATCTTGATGGTGGTTTCCGTGTTGCAATTAGTTGACAACCATTATAACATGTTATAACTCTCCAGTCTGGACAGCGTTTTATAGTACGTTCAGACTACAGAGTTATAACATGTTATAGCGCTATCTTGATGGTGGTTTCTGTGTTGCAATTATTTGACAACCGTTATAACATGTTATAACTCTCCAGTCTGGACAGCGTTTTAGAGTTACCTCTATGGTTATAACATGTTATAGTGCTATCTTGATGGTGATTTCTGTGTTGCAATTATTTGACAACCGTTATAACATGTTATAACTGCTCAGTCTGGCCAGTGCTTTAGCATATGAGATGCTCCAAATCCGATCACGCAGGCAAATGTGTTGTTTCGTATTTCCGTTTAGGGTGGCCAAATACCAACACGGAGAAAAAATACTACCCAAAATTTGAGTTTTTTATTTACTTAATATTGAGTTCAGCCTCTCACTTGTACCATAGAGGTAACTCTAAGACAAGTAGGTCCCGAAGAAACGTGCTCAACTTTTTGGCTCACCTCTGGTACTATCTTCGGTCCCAAGCTTGTCGAATCACCCCTCGAAACATAGGAAAAACCAATAACCCCTCATTTTATCTGTCAAACTTTCATAGCGAATCAAAACAAACATAGTGTAGTAATAGAATTTCAACTAGAATAGGGTACGTTAATCGTTTGCTTGGGACCAATAGGCTACTAAAGTGGTGAGCTAATTTAAAATCGTTAGTTTCGTATTGATTGTTGCTTTTACTATATATTGCTTGCTTTATTGTTGTCAAAAAGGAACGAGAGATTCGACACAACGATACACCGAAAATAGTTTTCATGTAGCTTCCATTGGAAACGCACATGATTTTCATCCATAATCAAAATCAATGGAATTTATCTGAATTTCACATAACATTTATGCGATCACGTTAATTTTATATGATTTTACATATGAATTTCATCGGCCTTATAATATTCATGTGATTTTTTGGTGGGATTTGCAGCCATGTGATCACAGGAAAGTTATGTGAAATTCACATGCATTTCATCCATTAGATATGTAATAAATTTTTTGAGTGTATACTTCAGCCCAATAAGTTACTCTTGGGTAAATTGCATATATTCTCAAATTTACGTGAATTTAACTTAATTTTGGGTAGAATATACTTCAGAATAAGTAATTTTTTTCTGCACGAAACGAAACCCAACAAACAATTGCCTATTGAAGAAACGACTTCTTGACGATTTTATTCCACTTCATGCTTAATAATACTTGTACTATTTTTAATAATAACTTCTGTTCAGGCTTTGTTCACACAAATCTGGAGAATTTATTCAACCACAACATCGAAATATTTGGTGTTGAACAAGGTATGTCCAGAAGCTTTTATTCGACTTACAAGAGCTTATTCGATCAAATTTTGGATTATTCAGCGTTTATTAGACACCATTACTTCCTTAAACAGCGATGGTATAAAGGTGTATATAGACGCTTGATTCTCATGTGAAATAATATTTAATAAGACACTATTATACATTTATAATATTAAACGATTATTCAACTACGGGATAATTAATCCGAAAATAAGAACGGCACAGAAGAGCAGGGGTTGTGTTCTCGTTAGTGATTGTTGTGTCATTTATTTCGGTCGAAGCACGCACCCACCACACAAGATCTAGAAAATCTATTACATACATACAAACACACACATGTCGTTATATGGGATTCGAACCATGACCTTCCGATCACCAGCCGCTTGCCTTGCCATCTGAGCTATCCTAGATTACATCATATGGGCAGCTAAATAAGCAATAAAAGCTTGCATCTGAAAACCTATCAGCACTTCCAGCCGTAACTCTAGTTTATTCAAGGAGATGTGAGAATGATTAATTCATTCATAGTTGTTTAACATTAGACCAACGATACCTCTCCATCTCTCTAATTTCGATGCAAAGGATGCTATTATTTTCGATAGATCTATGAATTGGTTGTCCTGAGTGATACGATTTATGATTACGATTTAAATTAATTAGGCGTAGAAAATAAATTAAAAAATCGGTTGAGGCTGGGATTGAACTCGCGACCTTCTACTTGGAAAGCGGAAACGGTAACCACTATGCTACCAATTTCGTTTTGTTGTTAGCCTGAAACAGGGTGTGGAATAATGAATGAATACGCCGTTTGTAAAGCATTTACAAAGCATGCAATTAAAACATGGGCGCATAGTGCTATAAGAGCTATTTTGCTGACTGTATTCACCATTATTCAGCAATATTGTAAAGCAATGCAATGAAATTTAATAATGGAGCTAGAAAACATTTATAAGACGTCTAATATAGCATTTTATAAAAGCAATTGAAAACAGTCAAATTAAAGCGACAATGCATGTGCAAATTACACTTATTCAGTTTGTTATTAGATCAAACTTCTGGTTCTGAATCAGGAAGACAGTCAACGTTTATAAAGCTTTTAATTAGTAAATTAATCATATCAGAGCAAACGGCGGAATAAAGGCGCATCTATCGATCTCAAAGAACTTTTTTCAGCACATAACTCGACATCCTGTTTTATTCAGCATTGTACACTGTTATACAGCATTTATTCAATGTGTATGCTTGTTTGTGCATTTGTTGGGAAATCAATTATTTTATCCACGTGTTTCACTTATACATTTTTGCCAAAACATCAGCCTTATACATTCCATAAGACAAACCACATAGGTCCTATAAGAATGCATAAAAGCTCGATAAAAGGTATCCCTAATAAAATTGTTATGGTTATTTTGCTTAACGACGTGTTCGGGGTATCATCCAAACCATTTGTAGAATAGTTCTATTATTTGGGTTATCGTTCGTTTATGGTAATTTTTCATTAGGGATGTGTGACCGCTTATGTATATCATTTGACACATGATCTTCATTAACTTTTTGGAAGGCGTCTGCTTATTAGTTGACTTATACATTTTATGAATAATCAGCAATAGAAATTTGCCAAAAGGTATAAGGATATTTCTATCCGTGTGGTGTTAAACGGTAACTACTATATCAGGCATAACATTTGATAGCGGCACAAAAGCAAATGTAAACAAACTTTCTAAGGCCCTTTACACGCGAACCGAAGTACGATCACGCAAATCAACTCTTACCTTTCCGTAACTGGTTGGTATTGGTTTGAGTGGGCGTACCTTGGTTCGCGTGTAAAGGGCCTTAGAAAGTTTGTTTACAAAATGCTTTTGTGCTGTTATCAAATGTTATGCGATTTATTCAAATTTAGGTTATTGGGCGGAACCCCAGAATTGAACGAAAAGTACTTAATTTTGAGTATTTTCATCTCCGTGTATTTTCACCGTTTCACCCTTTTGAAATGTTGATGAAGAATATTGTACTTTCGCCACTTTCCCACGATGCTCTAGATTAGTGTAGCAGGAGCAGAATAAACATTCGCTGAGTTCTTCACTGACATCTCGATTGTCAGGCAAACGTCAAAAGTCTCTCTTCCCATCTCCCTCTATCCGTTTTGGTTGAGGCAGGCTAGAAAGAAAGGTCACTACTTGTAAATAATGAGAGTGAGTGCATGTTTTGCTCTTTACCGAGTGAGTTTGTGAGATCCGTATATTTGGTATTTTTGACGTGTGATTTAGCTGTCGTCCGTACTCCACAAGCGAGTAGTTGGCCAGTTTTTCTTTGACTTCTAGAATAGTCGAATTTCTATCCGCAGTTCTGGACAGTAAAGTGTTTTATTAAGTGAAAAATTGTGGAAATATTTCCAGTTTACAGCTTGTGCTTAACTAGCCGCCGGATAAATAATTGGATTCTAGCCAAAAGAAGAATTTTTAGAGCTATACATCACATTTCTGTGCATTCGTACTTTGCGATCTCCGTCGAAGAAAGTGCATCAAGATGTCCGAAAGCGACTGGGACACTGTGACCGTGTTGCGTAAAAAAGCCCCAAAGGCTTCTACTATGAAGACTGAATCTGCTGTGGCTCAAGCGCGTCGTCAGGGTCTTGCAGTCGAAACCAGCCAGAAATGTAAGTAGTGATCCGTCGCTGTGACTAAGATTCCCAGTCTGCCTATTTCACCACCACCACGAGGTTTTAAACAGAAAGTCGCAATAATCACATTGCATCAGACTTCGCCATATTAACATTGCATGGAGAGAGCGAAGCCGAAAATGGTGCCGGTTGTCTAAAATTAAATTAAAGGAATAATGTGACCCGTTTAGGAATTGTCTACAGCAGTGCTGATCGATTTCACAACTTTGAACAACTTTGGCAGAAATTTGGATAACATGTTTGTCTCTGTTCTTTTTCTCATACATTCACAAATCCTTACACACGGACATTGGAACCGTGTAGATAATGCGGGTACAAACAAGCAACACACTGCGCCGAAAAATACCGCCAAGCTGGACCGGGAATCCGAGGAGCTCAAGCATAAAACGGTGTCGCATAGTGTCTCCAAGCTGATCATGCAGGGTCGTCAGAACAAGGGGCTTAGCCAAAAGGATTTGGCCACGGTGAGTTGGTTTTCTATTTTATTTGTCAGTGATAATATTCGATAAAATCATAAATCAAAATCTCGATGACTTTTTCGAAGGGACGTATCTTCTTTTGTAAACAAAGCATTTGATCGATTTGGCGTAACTGGTAGCTCGCCCACCCATGCTAACATTTTATCTTATTCTTCTTCGCATTTCAAGCTTATTGCATATCGCATATTAGCTGATAGCGTGCTCTCAACTTAGTGTTCTAGATGAACTTCCACAGATATTAATTGAGAGCTTGATGCCTGTACCGTACCATATATTTAATAATTGTGTGGCAAGTACAATCATACTATATGCCAAGGGAAGTCGAGAAATGTTGCAACCCGAAACATTCTAGACCGGACCGGGAATCGAACCCAGCCCCACCTCCAACCATGGTCTTGCTTTGTAGCAGCGCCTTTACCGACTGAGCTAAGGAGAAATTATATTTTGATCATATCAGGCATAACAATTGATAATGGCACAAAAGCATTAAAAACAAACTTTCTAAGGCCCTTTACACGCGAACCAAATTACGCCCACGCAAACCAATACCACTTTCGGGAAGGTGATAGTTGCCCCTATCCGATGATGTTGTTGGTTTGCGTGAGCGTACTTAGGTTCACGAGTAAAGGGCCTTAGAAAGTTTGTTTACAAATGCTTTTGTGCCGTTATCAAATGTTATGCCTGATATGATATGTACTAAGGGTAGTACATAGTGTGAAACTCTGGTAACGAATTACAATTCGTTGTGAAATTATGATTAAATACAAAATGAACGATTTTTTCAATCCTGGATTTGGGCTCAAATGGACCCAAGGTTGTAGAGCGGCATTCACTTCAACTTATGGCTACTAACCATTGGCCTTTGTTGTACTGCGTTCCATTGTGGTACTATCTTGGAAACCACCAAGAGAGACATAGCATTGGCGTAACTAAGGAAAAATCCAAACTTTATGTTTCGAACTTCTCAATTAGGCAATTAGCGAACAATGTTGATTTGTATGAAAAAAAAGTAATTGTAGCAACAATCCTAGAGAGGCTGTATTAAACCTTGGGGGAGCTCTCCCCCATAGTTACACCATTAGGTGCTAGGACTGCTTTTGTAAGTTTACGAAACATTTGGAGATCAATTCAAATGATTGAACGCATCAAAATTTGAATATTCAATTCAGAGTAACATAAACATTAATGTCTAGTGAATAAAATTTTAAGGCACATAGCCATTCGGGGTTTACAGTCGTGGGAGGTGGAAGTTGAAAACTGAAAATACTTGCTATAAGCCTGTAAATCACCGATCAGAGATGTAGGTGAAATTCATTGCTATCCTGAAAAAGAAGCACAAAGTTCTTAACGCATTGGCGATAATATACACGCTAATACCAGAAATCCTATATAAGTGCACTTTTTGGAAAGATGGGTAGGTTTTTAACCGGCAGTAGGTAAAAGAATAGCCGTTTACCAAAAGTATAGATCTATACTTAACTTAACGCCGTTTCACATAAATGCCCAGCCAGAACACTATCCATAAACGCATAACAGTCCCATTAGAATAGAAAATCAAGCAAAGATGTGACTGTTATTATTTTACGGGCATCATGTAATAAATATTTGGCCTGTTCTTTCAAATTTTTTGAAGAACCGATCATGATAAAAAACCATTCGCGTTTATGCCAAATATCAGCAGCGCATGCCGATTTTCATTCAAAATCGTCAATTTTGACATGTTGTAACTTTCTTCTCTTAAGATCAATTGAGCTGAAACGTACGTTCGCCACAGAACTTCAAATATGTTCAATTTTACGATTACAAAATACCAAATTTTTGGAAGCACCTGCCGGAAAGTGTGATAAGGGAAATGGATGTAATGTCGGCCTAAATGCCCCTTATTTGGGTCCATGCATAAATTCAGCAATCGACTAAATTTTCAATAGCGACCAAAAATAACGTCCCAAAGACGCGGTCATCTATAGATAAAATTGACAAATAGCAGATTTTTAGCGATGGACCCAATCTTAGATCCATAGGCCAACATTAGAGCCATATCCACTACTAGGTATTTTTTTTTTCGAAATAATCACTAGTAAGGTGACAATAGTAAGTGACAGGCCTAGAAAAAGGATATACCTACATATACAGAGAAAAAGAAGTTGAGGTTTTTGTTGCGAATTGTAGAAGATGAATTCTCTTCAGAATATCGTTAGAATTCATTGGATTTCTTTTGATAATTCTCATTGAGTTCTCTTGAAATTCTCCTTTAATGAACCAAAATTTCTGCTCGAAATTCACACGTGTGTGTTAAATCTCTGGGATATTTTTTTAATTTTTTGAATCTAGTTCGTTTATTTGGAAGGCTCAATCGCGTTAGCTCTACGGAGCCGATAATTCATTGTTCTTTAGTTGAAGATTCTAATTTCAAATAACAGACTAAAGTGGTAATTCTTATACGATATATGAGGGGATGAAAGTATAGAGTTGATAGTTCCGTTAGAGTACAGCAGTGTGAAAATTGTATATAAAGAGTAGAAAGTGAACAAGGGCAACTTTTTAGGAAGGTACAAATCGGTTTGTTTATAACGAAATTCACTTAATTTTATGTCTAGTAGGAGTTGGGCAGAATACTCGCGGATTACCCGAGGTTAGAAAGGTACATTGTCGAAGGATAGGAAAAGGGTTTCGTTGTCTCATCAGAGCGATGTCGATGAATATGAACGGTAGTGTGGTTCCACATTCGTCTGGAGTTCGACTACCTATGGTGACCAGTGGGTGACGATGAGACTCATCGAGACGGGGGACAAGATAAACATTATACTAGACATTTGCAGAAACACATAAATCGACTGCATATAGCAGTCATCTCGGGAATCTTACCTAGAATTGTTTTTTTTTTATTTCTCCTCTATGTTCGTTTGGAATTCTCTCTTAGTCAGCAGGTCGCCTTCTACTTGGTCGATCCACCTTGCCCGCTGCCCGCCTCTTCTTCTTGTTCCTGTTGGGGCGCTTTCGAGAACCATTTTCACTGGGTCGTCGTGCGGCATTCTTACGACGTGCCCAGCCCACCGTAGTCGCCCATTTTTTGCAATGTGGACGATGGATGGTTCTCCCAGCAGCTGGTGCTATTCGTGGTTCATTCGCCTTGTACCGTCTTGTAGATAGTCGACTTCGTGCGATGGCGATTTTTCTTTTCGACCGAAGCGTCCTCCGGAGTCCAAAGTAGGTACGATTCCCTGCCATAATGCGTCTTTGAATTTCTCTGCTGGTATCATTTTCGGCGCTCACCAGTGAGCCCAAATACACGAACTCGTTGATCACCTCGATTTCGTCAGCGTCAATCTCAACTCGGATTGGGAGGCTAACATTGTTGTCCCTTGAACCTCTTCCTCTCATGTCAGGGTGTCTACTCAATCCAAGCAATCAAATTCCCTGAGTTTTCCAGGTTTTTCCAGGTCGGATGAAAAAAATTCCAGGTGCATACAAATTATACACATTATTATTTTATCTATTTATCCATCTGGAATCCCTTTTATGTACTTATTGATTTATGTTATTTTCGATTGTTCAAACTTGGGCGTTGGTACTTGTAAGTCAGCACAGCAAAAAAGTTATTGAATATTACAGCAGAACAGATGCACATAGGTTGTTTAATATTAATTTGTACAATTTATGTTTAGTAAATGCACCAATAGTGGAGGTAGTTAGTACAATGTACTTCTATAGCGACTTAGGGAGACTCTATAAGCCACCATAGGAACACATTGCACTAAAGTACCTCCACTATTGGTGCATTTATCCTACACATGATTTGCGAAAAGAAATTATATCCATGGGTGTAATACTGTATTTGGTTTTTGCAATCACATTAGTTATTCATATAGTAACATGCATTACGTCAATCAATATTACATTCTTTTTTGGTATTTGTGTTAATTCAAGAATATAAATACAAGTAAGAAACCTGTCTATACTATTTCGATAAAACGATATATCAAAATTTGATAACAATATGTTTTCAAAAACAAAATATTATTTTGATAATATGTTTGAGTCCAACTCTGTTTGGAAGACCAAGACAGAATAAATCATGGTTTCACATGTCTAAAATCTCTTAAGGTCCGTTGAGACTATCTGATTTCTTGGTCTGATTTTGACCACCGCCATAATGAAAAATCTGCTCGAATTTACTTTCGACACACTTTGTCGAACCCCCCTGTTTGCTGGTGTTCACACTGTTTGCACATGTCGAAAGAACTGTCAATTTAGATTTCAAAACAAAACTGTATCAGGAATCAAAAGTAAATACTTCCATCATGAATTACCGGAAAATTGCTCTAGTTTCGGCAGACGTATTTGCTTTTATTATTTTAAATAAAATGAGAAAAAGAAGGTGAACTTTGTGGAGTAGGAAATGGTTGCTCAGGAGGAACACCGGCAGGGATCTGGCTCATCTTGTCCATCAAGAGCTGCGATATGAAGATGAAAATGGATTTCAAAACTTCGCCAGGATGTCGATACCAGCTTTAAACAAGCTAGGGGGAAAGTTCTCACTATAAATACATGATTCCTTGAGTTCTGAAAATTTCTGTTAACAACTCAATTCTGCAAGGTCTTCAAACCTTCTGACGTCCCTGAAGTTTTGTTTCTGTTCTCCGGTAAAATTTCTTTAAAGATCAACAATCTTTCCTGACAATCTGCAAATGTCTAATTAGTTCTACAGATTTCTTTGAAGTTCTGTGTGTTCTTCAGAAGTTCTGCAAATTTTCCTAAAAATCTACAAAGTTCCTGAACCCTAGAAGATTTAAGATCCTTCAAGATGAACAATAATCTCTGATGTTCACAAAATTTCTAATCATCTAAAAACTTCTCGAAAGTTCTGTAATTTTCTCTGCAGATTTTCATGATTCAATGAATATCTGCAAATATCTCTGAACATCTATACAATTTTCTAAAGAATTAAAAGATTATCTAGAAATTTTTGAGCTTTCCGGAAGTTTTAGGAAGTATTCTGAAGTTTTTCTAATTTTTCTGAAGCTGTGCAAATATCTCTAAAGATCAGTGAACTTAACTGAAGTTCTGTAAATGTCTTTCAAAATCCAATAACCGCAGTAAAATTCTGAAAATTTATTTAAATATCTGCTAATTTTTTAGTAGATTAACGATCTACCCTCTGAACTTTTCTGAAGTTCCTAAAATTTATTTCAAATTCTGTAAAGTTTTCTGAAGTACTGTATTTCTGCTTTAAAGATCTACGAACTGCCTTGAAGTTCAATAAATTTCAAAGTAAATCTCCGAACTTTTATAAAGTTCTTTAAATTTCTTTGTGGATTATTTATCTAAAGATCGGCGAACTTTCCCGAAGATCTGTGAGTTTTGCTGGAGTTTTGCAATTTTTTCTAAAAACGTACGAACTTTCTGACGTTCTACAGACTTCTCTTAAGGTCTACGGACTTCTCTTAAGGTCTACGGACTTCTCTGAAGTTCTTTAGATCTATCTATTTCCGACTTCCATGGAGTTCTGCAAAATATTGTACTTTTGTACTTCGCTGCGATTTGTTTTTGGAATTGAGGTGCTTTTCTGACATTTAACAAATTTTTCTGAAGATCTCACATTTGTGTGAAACTGTGAAACTATCTGTCAAATTCCTGCAAATATCTTTAAAGTTCTGTAAAGTTGTCTTAAGCTCCGTAGCTCTATTCCCAAGATCTACAAAAAAAAAAACTTGAGGCTCAATAAATTTCTCAGTAGATCGCAAACTTCTCTGATGTTTTGTAAATTCCTCTCGGGTTACCCTGAAGATTTGAAAATTGTAGATTACCTAAAGTTGTCAAAATTTATCTGAAAATATTTGAGCTTCTTAGAAGTTTTAAATGTCTCTCTCAAGATCTACAAATTTTCCTGAAATCGTGTAAATTTTTTTTTTTAATTCGCCGGGCTTCCCTGAAGTTCTGCAATTTTTACTGAAGATCCATTATTCTTGTGATTTTTTCAGAAGTCCTGTAATTTTTTTCAAAGTTCTGTAGCTTTGTTCTGAAGATCTACGAACTTTTCTGATGTTGAATAATGTTTCGAGGATCTCCAAACTTCTGTGAAATACTTTATATTTCACTGCAGATTCTTGGACTTGCCTGAAGTTATGCGAATTTCCCTGAAGATTTGCAAAATTTCGCTTATAGTAATTATTTTTGCATGCTTGAAGTTTTGAAAATTTCTTTGAACATTTATCTGAAGATCTACGACCTCTCTTGTGATTTTGTTTTTATGAATTTCTGTTAATTACTTTTAATTTGTTTGTAGTTCTGTTCTCAAGATCTACGAACTACCCTGAAGCTCAACAAATTTCTCAGTAGATCTCCGACCCTCTCTAAAGCTCAAAAAAAATTCTATGTAGGCTCTCAGACCTGCTGTCTGGCATACTTATTCTTATACAATACATGCTTCGTATGCTTCCTTTTGCCAGTCTCTCTTTTTCGGCTGTTTCCTTTTTACGACGATTTTGATCCTCCACATACAAATTAGCGAAGAGCGAGCGTGACAAGACTCTCTGAATGAACTTGTCTTGTTCGCACACGTTGTCTTAGCTGTTAGATGCTTGTCAAGTTCAGTGTCCTTAAGAAACGTTTCGAGAAACTGAACGAAAAACTTCTTTTGAATTACGAATGAAGTGATAATTGGAAAATTCAATGAGTGGAATTAAAATTCCCTGAATATTCCAGGTTTTCCCAGAAAAAATAAAATTCCCTGTAAATTCCCGGTTTTCCAGGTTTTTCCAGGTAGTAGACACCCTGCATGTATTTCGTCTTCGATGCGTTGATGGCAAATCCAGTCCGCCTAGCTTCAGCCTTCAGTCTAATGTACGTTTCTGCCATCTTCTCAAAGTCCCCCTCGGCGATGCCAAGAAGCTGGATGGACTTCCTGAAGATCGTGCCACTCGTGTCCCAGCTCTTCTGATCACACCTTTTAACGCGATGTTGAATAGCAGACACAAAAGTCCATCACCTTGCCGTAACACCCTTCGAGATTCAATGGGACTCGAGAGTGTCCCCGATACTCGAACAACGCACATCACTCGTGGAAATTCTGCAAAACCTGCCGAATAGCTAAAATTGTGTCCGTGGTAGCGCAGGGAACCCATGAATCCCGCCTGGTATTGCGGCGGCGGTGGGAGATTATCTTTTAGGTGGCGCTCAGCAGTGTGATCGCACGGTAGTTGGAGCAATCCAACTTGTCGCCCTTTTAATGCTGCGGCTATTCGCATAGCAATCCCATGTCCTGTGGATTTCATATCGAAATGGGCCTTCTTAAGTAGATGTAATTTGCCTTATCACCTGCGATTGTAAGGATGTGGCCAAGTGTATAATGTGGGGAAAACCACTATTCCCAAGTGTTTTTTCACGGTAACACTTTTTCTGCGAAATGTATTGGTTGACCATTATATTCCCCCCCCCCCCGCGATTTGTACAATCACATATGAGGGGCTAAGAAGGAAAATGGTGTAAGTGACTTTGATCGATTCTCTTCATCAACTTTCTCTTTTGATAGCCACAGCTTTATAAATAAATTTTGCGCTATTTCTGCCACATTGTTTGATAAAGAAGGTTCTCATCTAGCATCCAGAATGGCACGCGAATCAAGGAATGTGTTTGCATCTGAATTATTAACGAAAGAGAAAGTCGATGAAGAGAATCGATTAAAGTCAATTACACCCCTTTCCTTCTAACCCCCTCATATGCTACTATCTCGATGAACATTTCAAATGGTCCTATCTGCATTGATCGATTCTCTTCATCGATTTTCTCTTTCGTTATTATCTCAGCTGCAAAACCTTTCCATGTAGTATTTGACGTTTTGGACGCTAGATAAGAACCTCCTTTATCAAACTATGTGGTAGAATTAACGCGAAATCTGTTAGCCATAGTAGTGGTTATGAAAAGAGAAAGTCGATGAAGAGAATCGATCAAAGCAGATAGGACCATTTGAAATGTTCATCGAGCTATGATATCTCAAAATGAAAGTTCGACAGTGAGCATGCATAAGGGCGAATACGCGATGATCGATTCTCTTCATCGATATTCTCTTTGCATTGCTACAGCTAAGCGAAGCAATTTTCTATAATTTGTTCAATGCAGAGTAGTAACATGTTGTATTGGGTACCAAAAGCAACAGCAAACGCACCGAGAAACGTTAAATCTAGCGAGTTATTAACAAAAGAGAAAATCGACGAAGAGAATCGATCATCGCGTATAGGCCCTTATGCATGCTCACTGTCGAGTTCACTGGCCACGCAGGTATGTCCAGTTTCTAAAAATATAATATTTGTGATGTAAACTTAAAGGGTGCTCATTTTGCCCTGGGTGGCGATCTTGCCTCGTCTACCCATACTGAACACTTCGCAGGGATTTAAATTGCAGCACCTTTGGTTCAAATTGCACCAGCTGTTAATGATTTCTAACTGGCGCTGAGGGAAGTGACAGTTATCAATCGAAAGGATTCGCATGTAAATTTTCAGATCATCTGCAATACGAAAGAAAATAAATAGTCTAGGTGACTTCCTTGAGGTATTTTTGACGTGGCTGGATACATATCAGACCATCAGCCACCAACTGAAACCATCAGCTGTCGATGAACTCATGCAGAAAAAAAAGCCTTTTATTTAAATGCCAAACCGTTTTTTATACTTTTTGGGACACCCTATTGTTTTTTTGAATTCTGTAATCACCTCACTTTCAACACCATAATGTATGTCATATTTCTGTTGTGTTCGTCCCAATAATGCAACAACTAGATACAGGTATACCTCGATATAACGTAACTGTCACTTTTGACTTCCATCGTCTCGCTAATAACAATTGAATCATACACATTAATATTACCAATAGATGGAAGATTATCTCATCTGTCCGATGGTTCTTTTTTTACTTTGCTTGTTTGAATGATCGTTTGCGAGAAATCGGCGATGGAAGTAAAAAAAGACAGTTACGTTATATCGATACAGTATCTTAATATGAAATCCATACAATGATACTTAGTTGTAGCTCTAAGGGGATGGTAAACATTTTCTAATAAAACATTATTGAGTTATTGTCAAGCGAAAAGCTTGCCATTGACTGCCATACATATTTAATCACAGTTTTAATAAAAAGATGTTATCCACTTTCAGAAAATCTGCGAAAAACCCCAAATCGTCAATGACTACGAAGCCGGCCGCGGCATCCCAAATAACTTGATTTTGGGCAAGATCGAACGGGTGATTGGAATAAAACTTCGTGGCAAGGAAATCGGCACTCCGATGGCGCCTCCCGGTAAGAAGTGAACACTCGGGAGGCAGAACTAATAAAACACAAACACACACATGCATACAAAAATGAGACAGAAAAATACATTAGGCGCGTGCGAGAAGAGTGAATGATGCTAACTAACAGCTACAATTGCTAAAAACATCATCTCGGTGGACTTTAATAACACACAATTTAAAAGTAGCAAAGGCAATATGTACAACAAAGGGAGAGGAATGCTCTTGCACTGCTTTGAGTAAGGGGAAACAACTCTCACCGCAAGCGTATAACTACTTCTCACAGCAGCCACAAATATTGTTTTTCCCCAAATTAGCAGTACTTACAAGAAAAAAGTTTTGCGTTTGAGTTGGAAGTCAATGTAGAGGAATCATAGTGTTAGCATCTTCTTCGTTCAATTACGAAAGGGCTGGTTATGAATATCGTTACGATCAGATCATAATTAGACAACGATTGCGTTATATATCGCATAGATGATGTGTAAAATATATACCTACTTCTTTTTGGAAAATTGTTCGTGTTCACTAAATAGAAATATGAAGCAGGAATAAATGTCAACTCTAAAAACGAAATACCTAATTCTCTTTTTACCTTTAGTCTAACCTTAACTTAGCCTAATCTTACCTTTTCCTTCTAAGAGAGTATTTTCATAGCAGACTTTTAAAACTAAGGTTTCCCGAAAACGGTACAACTTAACGATTTAATTACAATCACACTATCCGTTTTGAACCAAAAGTAATCAAATTGTACTTACGTAGCATATTTTTGAACAATTTTAGATTCAAACCACCTCTCCCCAAGTAGCATATTTTGCTATAACTAATACATGGTCGGTCACAACTTAACCGCTTCCTTCCCCCTAAAAAGCTACGTTATTTATACATGTTCCCTTTAAAACATCACAATTTTTGGCGTAAATCCGCGTAAAACCGACTTTAGTCAAGTCATGTTTTCCCCAACCATTGAAAAAGTATTACAGACTGTGACGAAAGCTGCATGAAAATCGGTTGGAATTCTCGCGTGACTTTTCAAATAGACCAATAATCTACGTTGACTGATTATCTTCATCGACTCTCTCATTCATAAATAACTCGGCTACAAAAACGTTTCCTGTCGTCTTTGTCGTATTAGATGCTGACTTTCATCGAACTGTTTAACACTATAGGAAACAGAGAATACGACTGACTATGATCCAGAAATAAACACCCACTCTCTTTTAGACTACAATTAAAGAAAAAATAATAATCAAGTAATAACTCAACTAACGATTTTAGTTGCAGATATGCTTATACAGGCAAAATTTGCCTTATGCACGTAATTTTTGCCTGTATAGGCAAACCTGAAACTAAAATTGTTTATTGGGAAGTCATATACTGCACATGAGAGCATAACTATCCAATATGAATTGGTTGGATATCAAGCAGAGATTGGTCAGTTATAATTTTATGGGCAGTATAATATGCGGATAGTAACTATACTGTGAGCGACCTTACGTGTTACCTTCATCTACTTCAAAACTCATCCAAAACTGCTTTGCCTAAGAGTGAGTGAATGATTTTTCCCACTACCTTTTTAACAGGCAACTTCACGTTTGAATGCATAGTGTGGGAGAGTGTTCCCTATTGATCCCCAAAATAATCCAATAAATCTTCGAATATTTCAGAAACTAAATGATCAGGAAAGAAAGAAAGAGACGCAGAGGATTAAAGAGAAGCAAGCCGGGAGTAGAATCAAAATTGGCACTAAATGGAATGAAAAATGCAGAAAACAGGGAATTTCTTTAGGCTGCCCAATTCCCTAGAAGCTGATGAAAATTTGCACAAGTTCAAATTGAAAATATAATGCTGAACCACGAGCAAAAATGTGCATTTAATCAGTAGCTTAACTTTTATCCATCAAAGTTTCAACGATATGGTTTTATTGTTTCATTTTAATTTTCATTACCATATAAACTAACTTACTACTGATACACGTATAGAATATGTTTTAAGGAGTTGAAGAGAATGCAAGCAAAAAAATAAAAAAAAATGAAGAAAAAGGGACAACCAACATTATCAGATTCTATTGATGATGGTCAAATAAAGAAGTAATATCTGCAGTTGTATACACCACTAGTTCAAGGGACGTTTTATTTAGCAATAAGTGCCGCACTACTTTCGTTGTACCCAGCACAGACCACTACAAAAAATTGAATCCATTTGTTCACAGTAGTCCGTCTGCCACGTCGTTTGTGGTCGTACTCTATAAACCGACATAATTCTCTATTTCTTTTTCAAAGAGACGTGTCTGCTTTTGAAAACAAAGATTCAAAAGGCACTGTACCAAAACTCTTATAGCGAATTCGTTTATTATCGGGGTTGGAACCAGTTCCAACCGAGTGCGAAACCGAACTTTTTGTCAGTGTGAACCTCAACCTGAGCTGGGTTTTAAAAACAAACGATCAAACTGACGTTTGTCAGAAAACAAGCAGACCCAATATTGATACCCGATCCAGGTTGGAACTGAATAATAAACGAATTCGCTATTAGCACTCGCACGTAAACCAACACCACCACCAAGAAATGGTAATGTTTCCCCAACAGTTTGCGTGGAAGTGCCAGGACTTTCGACAAATTGACGTTTGAATATTTGTTTACAAAAGCAGATACGTCCGTTTGAAAAAGTAGCTGCGAATTATCCACTACCCAGTGGACATTACTTAGTACCTACATACCTATACCTCTAAGGTATTCACCCATATGCTTGTTTTCGTTCGAACCGTATTTTCCACACAAAAAAAAAAACTTAAAACATAGAGCCTTATTACGGGTGTCACTACACGGTGATAAGGAAGTGATACTCAGAATAAGAGCCGTGATTGCCGTGCAAATCAAATGGGAATCACTTCACCGTGACGACAAGTGACAAGTTTTCACCGTGAAGTGACATCCATAATAAGCCCCTATGGGTGATTGTGTTATGGCATGTTCGTAATATAACATGCCCACTAGAGTGATGCAAAATTTGAAATTTTCGCTCCACAATACTTAAGCGATTCCAAATCGGATCCTGACTAACCTCTCAAAATTTGAACCCATTTGGTGAGAAACTGAGATGGCACAAACCATTTGAAGTTTGTTTGGGAATTACTATGGTAAAACCAAGATTTATGTTCATGTCTATCTAATAATTCACCATATCGGTCTGCTTCAAAAGCTTTCAACTGTACTTGTAGGAAATTTTCCCAGCTACAACTTGCTGAAGATCACTTTTTGATTAAATGCAAGGATCGAAAGTTATCAATGGTTTAATGCGCTGATGTCTTATGATCATGCTCAATCAACTGCTCAGCAGGCAACATTGGTGTTTCTGGGGCGTTGAATAGGACACAAAAATCATGGCTACTATGTCACACTGCAAAATACAGTGTTGCCTACAGAGTAGCTGCTTGATCATGTCATAAGTTTACCAATCTCTTAAATAATTAATAACTTTTTCCTGTCTCGTTTTACATAGAAACGATTTTCAGCAATGTTGTAGCTGAGAAAATTTTATATAAGAATGGCTATCGAACTGTTTCGCAGCTCAATATGGAAAAATACTAGAAGGCAATGAACAAAACGTTGAGATTTCCCATAGTAATTTACATGTAAACTTCAAATGGCTTGTGCGAAGTCTGTTTCTAACCAAATGAGTTGTAACTTTGGGAGGCTAATCAGGACCCGATTTGAAACCATTTAAGCACTGTGGAGCGAAAAAGTCAAATTTTGCATCAGTCTAATGCCCACACATAGCTCTTCTGCGAGGCGTGTGAGATGTGGTGACAATTGTCACTTCACAGTCACCTCACCTTACACGCCGCGCAGAATAGACCTAATAATGTATTCATCGATTTCAAATAAGCATACGACACAAGCGCAGTTTTGTTATCCTCCAAGAAATGTGTACTAAAGTTTTAGTACGATTAGTTTTTCTCCCATTTCATCCTACAAGAATATGATACATGTGCCTACATTGAGGAGTATAGGAAGCCGATCAAGCTCAAATCTGTGCCGGATTTTCAGTACGATTAGGTAGGTAGCCTCCAAGTAAACACATTAAGCTTTATTTCGAATCAATTTGCACTTAGTGAAATCGAAATCAATCACCGTCATGTTTCGCAATGTTCCCAGCCACATAACTCGAATCCAAAACAAATTAAGGACATGACCACTATTCAGAACTCGTCCTGCAAGCAAGTCTGCAACGAACTTGTAGCTGGGAGGATAACTAATCGTACTAAAACTTTAGTACAAATTTATTGGAGGATAACAAAACTGCACGTACGACACAATCGATCAAGACCAGCTATGGCAGATTATCGAGCAGATTATGAACAATACGGATTTCCGGATAAACTAGTCCGATTGGTCATGGCGACGATGGGTCAAGTGATTTGTTCATTTCTTTCTTACAGTTCACTATATTGATCTACAACAAAATTGGATAGCTTATGCTAGTATGAAATTTACTTCAGCTACATCTTTGTTGAAGTTCACTTTTCTATTTAATATAAGGAAAAAAATATTAATGATTTAAGACGCTGGTGTCTTATGACCATGCTCAACATTAGCAACATTGGTGTTTCTGGCGTTTAAAATAGAGCATACCAATCATGACTAAATGTACATATATGTCACACTGCACAATACAGTGTTGCCACAAAGCATCTGCGTGATCATATCATAAGATTACCAATCTCTAAAATAATTAATAACTAGGGGAAATGTCGGCTTCGGCAATACCTTAACCTATTATCGTCAGGGGGTAAACTAAGTCCTAGAGCACTCAAATTTGGCCAATAGGTTCTCTGAAACACAATGTATCCACATGCCAAAATTGAGCTCTCAAGGACGTTGTTTATCCCCTGACGATAATAGGTTAAGGTATTGCCTAAGCCAACATTTCCCCTAGTTCATTTGTCGCTTGACGTCATTTTTTTTTTTCCTTGATTTGTTTTCCGTTGATCTTGTTTTCCATGCTGAACACCAATGCTACTGACGCCAAAGAGGCAACTCCCACACCTGGATCCTACGTATCGACCCATCAACTCATGGACCGTGGACCGTAATCAGAGATTTTATGCCTCAGAAAATCCCGGCGGCGCCGACTGGGATTTTTATTTTTTTTATTTCTTTATTAAAGAGATTTTTAGCCATAGGCTAGTTCATCTCTTACCGACTGGTAATTGAACCCAGACCTTTTGGGGTGAGAGGCAATCAAGCTACAACACCGGCGCCGCTTGACCTATGCTGGAGGTAGTTACGGGTGATTTTAACCAGATGTAATGGGTAGTTGAAGTTACAAAGCTTGTACACAAGTTCCCCATGCCAGACATTATCAAACGCCTTTTCAACGTCTAGCAAGGCCATGGCTGTGGACTTTGATACAGCTTTGTTCCTTCAGATGTTATTCATCACCCGTTCTAGCTGGTAATTGGGTTCTTTAATTTTGAAAAATATATCCGTTTTTATATATCATCTGAAAGAGCTTCGTTTTCTGAGCACAGCGATATTTTTTTCGAACCCACACGCTCTCATCTCGATTTTTAAATCAAGATTCAAAGCAAAATAATAACTTCACTGTTTGACACTAAACTGACAAACTGACAGCTCGCTCCCATACAAAGTGACACCGAGGGGCGCGAATAAGGTGATTTTTGCAAATGTAATCGTACTTATTTAAAATAGTTCGAGTGTACCAAAATTTATGAAATTTTGGGTTTGGGTTCCATTTTTAATGCAGATTACGAATATGCATTTACCTCAATATCATTAAAGAACCCAATTGGTGGAGTGCCCCTTTCTGAACCCAAACTGTTCCGGAAGGAGAATGTTGTTTTCCTCCGAGGGGGACGACTCTATCTACGATGCAGGAAATATTGGGCCTTATTACGGGTGTCACTACACGGTGACATTGAAGTGCTACTCAGAATAAGAGCCGTGATTGTCGTACAAATCAAATGGAAATCACTTCACCGTGACGACAAGTGACAAGTTTTCACCGTGAAGTGACAACCATTGTGTTTTGCTGTGGCTAGCTGCGCTTACGCTGAGTAGATAGAAAGAAGATTTCCTGCAAAAAGATGATGCGCGATGCAAGTAGATGCGAGAAATGAAAGAAGATTTTTCAAAGATTTATTGGCTAGTGTGAGATTTTTTGAGCACCATCATCATCATCACCTCGTTTTCCTCGACAAACTTGAGAATGAGTTTATCGAACAATTTGCTCAGCGCTGAAATGAGGCTGATTGGTCTGTAGCTTGATGACAATGTTCTTTGGGTCTTTACCAGGTTTGCAGATTGGTATGATTTTAGCTACCGTCCAGATGCTTGGAAAGTAGTGCAGCGGCCAAAAGAGACTGCACTTTCATGCTGAGTCTCTTCAAGATTAAGTTGAATATGCCGCTAAACCTGGGAGCCTTCATTTCATGGTGCATTTCAGCGCTGAGCTAATCTGTTGTACTGTAATCATATCCGCCGTAGCCAACAAACATTGAAAGCTGTATAAGTGCTTATTCGGGGCCTCCCTTAGCTCAGCCGGTAAAGGCGCAGCTACAAAGCAAGACCATGCTGGAGGTGGCTGGGTTCGATTCCCGGTTCGGTCTAGGAATTTTTCGGCTTGGAAAATTTCTCGACTTCCCTGGGCATAGAAGTATGATTGGACTTGCCACACAATTATACCAATGCAAAAATGGTACAGGCATCGAAAGCTCTCAATTAATAACTGTGGAAGTGCATCTAGAACACTAAGTTGAGAGCACGCAATAAGCTAATATGCGATATGCAATAAGCTTGAAATGCGAAGAAGAAGAAGAAGAATAAGTGCTTATTCAGTCAAACATTTGCTTCTTCAGATTTTAATCAGCTCAAATTGTTTGTTGGGGAGACACGACACATTGCGCAACCTGATCTTCGAGCGGACTTTGGATTGTCGAGCCACGCAAATGCGATGAAGCGACATGCTCACCGATCGCATTTGCTTTCTCCTGTGGGGTGTTTACGAGCCGATCGTCATCATGTTCATCTTTGAGTGATGGAATGGGTTTGGGGTGCATCTTTAGTACCTTGGCAACCTTCCAAAATGGTCTGGAGCGGTTGTCCAGATTCTGGACAACATGCCCGAAATTTTCATTTGGGAGTGAGTCCATTTTGGAAGCAGCCTGTTCAGATCGGCCCTTTCACGTTTTTTGCCCAAATCTCCACTCCTCTGAACCTGGCATCTACGAACATTTCTCAAGCGAATCAGTGATTGGGTGTGGGAATCAATAGCAACAAACTTACCCCTCACAGGAACTTGTCGAGCACACGCCCCGTCAGCCACGGATATGGCCCGGTCGATGTCATTTACGGTGTCGAGCGGTGGATTTTCTTCGATGTTTCTGTCCACCATTCGTCCGTACTGCACCCAGTTAACATGGTGGTAGTCATTTTGCATGCAGCTTCTAGCAGGAACCAAGATGACAACGACTGACTGAGCTGAGATCGTTGTGCGCCTCCGGCTTGGATAGTCCGATGTTCGACAGGAAAAAATCCAGGGTGGATGGATTACCCTCCGGAGAGATGAAAGTTGGTTCGTCTGGAAACTGCACAGTGTACAGTCCATGTTGGGCGTGGTCGAACAAAAGACATCCGTTCCGGTTCCACCTGTAGTTCCACTGGTAGTTCCGCCAAGTTTCATGGCGGGAATTCAGGTCGCCCCCAACGAAGAATCGGAAACTAGTACGAGTGGGGATGGTCAGGTCGTTCTTGAATATGCTTGCTAATCCGTTATTAGCAGCACACTGCCGAGAGCAGTAAACAGGGATGAACCGGACATTTCCAGTTAGCGATTCGACCTCCACACTAAGAGCCTCGATAGAAGTGCGGATGTGAGGGATGTGAAATAGGATATCTTTGGTTTTAGTGTGATTGCTTTGATAAAAAAGCGCAAAATTTCAACTATACCGAGGGGGCAGCATAACCAAAAAATCACCTTGCATACGGGGGGTATTCATTGGATGAAAGAGGCCGTGAAAGAAGACACTAATATAGACAGTTTTTTATTCCGACTGTTTCATCTTAGTATTCTTCTTTGTTACGTCGATGTTATGCTTGCGGAGAATATGAGCAAGCTCAATCTTTTTGCTCTTATAGAGCAAGCATTCTAGGTCACGATAGCGGTTTAGACGCCATACTGGATGATGAACTTACCGAGTACTGCTCGGGCTTGGCACTTACGAAGAGCACTGATCAAGTTGACGAAAATTTAATCCGCTGAGAACAGATCGGAGTTGTTGTTTTGCACTGTTGGTTGTCTCCAGAATCCAGCAGAATCACCGGAAGCTTCTTGACGGGGGACGGATTGCACCCGTGAATTCGCTTGTCCATGATGAGGTGGAAAGCCCTCCGCCCTGAAAACCGGGGCCTTATCCTTCCTTCGTCCTGGTTGATTGTTGGTGGCGCCTGTTTTCGGATGCGATTGAAATCCTCGCGTTTAGGGCACTGCTTTTCGGATCCTTGGTGAGCACCACCACAGTTGGCGCATCAGCCACAAGTTCATCCGCAGCACATTCTGAGGTGGCGTGGTCTTGAGCGCAATTGCCGCAGCGGGTGCCGTGTCTTAAGTTCAGACCGAGGTTCAGACATCGTTGGCACTGAATCACATCGCGATGGCCACCACGGTATGGCTCCCAGTGGACGATGATGGAATTGATGGAGCGGACGGCACTTGGGGCCAACTTGTACCGGTCCCTGATTTCAGCTTCGATAATCTTCGGGTCGATGTTTGGTAGGCCCCTGATGACGACCCTTCAAGGGTTTCTCATCGGGAATGTCGTGGGTGAAGAATTCCACCTTGGAAGTCTTCAGGTGGGTGACGACCAAGTCATACTCCGCTTTCATACGGAGCACCACCTTGGTGATCTGCCCAACTTGAATTCGGCTTTGACGCCCAGCGACGGCAGATCCGCGATGAGCTCGTTAAGATGGGCATTTTCACTACCAACGGAGGTAGCTTAAAAGGTAGAAATCTCCAACATCTCTTCGTCGCAGTGGTATCGTCACGACCAATCCTGTCATCGAACTGGCCCCGATTCTTCTTCCTCTTCTTGCTGCGCTTTTCAGTCACAACTGGCTGGTTATTCCTAACGATGGAAAGAACAGCAAACCTGTTGGATGTAATCCACAGTAGAGTAGAGTTGCGGCCTTGTAAATTATCTCAGAGTTAATATCAATTGTACCCATTTACTGGAACGTTCCTGGCAGCCAGTATAACATGGTCGTCACTTATTATCTCATTAGTGAATAAACTGGCAAACTTAAGAAAAAAAAAGGTGGACTCCCGGACTCCCTGCGTTGCTCGTTCACGCAGTTACAAAAGGATTTCGTGCGTAGCTTAAGTTTGCGCTGGATGCCTCGTTGGAAACTTGAAAAGCTTTCACGACTAACTCGCTGGTACATGTGATTCAACCGCACATACATAATGTAGTTTCAGAGGAAACGTGCGATACTTCGTAAATCTTCTCAATGCTGCTCTCTTGATTAACTTCAATCTACGCACCTAACTCTTTTGTCTGCCTATCTGAGTTCTTTTCGGGACGTGTCTGTCACTTTTCATATGCAAAGACATGTGAAAAGATTAGCGCTGCAGCCTTAACGTCATCAGGATCAAACATTTCTCCCATTGCATGCTAGACAATATATCTGTGATGATACGGTGGTCAGCTTTACGGAAGTCATAAGAAACCGCAGCAGGATAATCGTCGAAATCACGCATGAATTTGTCGTCAACAGTTACAATTGGAGGAGGGTGATGCGGAACTGGCTTAGTTAGTGTACAAGGAGCCGAGAAAATTAATGGAGCCTTGTCATGAGTGCTCACCAAGTAGCGGTCCACACCACGTTTATGTTCGTTAACTACATGGTTAATTTGAGAAAGCGTTGCTGCGCTGTAGTCGATAATACTAATAGTTCCTGCGTGAAATGTAGAGCTATTAGTGAAGTTACCCAAAATGAATATCTCATCAACTGGAGTGGCACTTTCGATAATTGTGAAAACTCTGTCGGTCAGTTTGAGTTTTGATGAGTTCATTGTCCCGGACTCGATCAGTTGGAATGTATAGAGCACATACAAATAGTGTGCGATCACCCAGATTGATGGCTGTCCAAACCTGCTCCACATTGTTCCATGATTCGTTCTTGATGGTCTTTGCCTCCAACCCGCCATGGAGTATGGATTAATGATGTAAATCCAGTACTATAAAGTGGGTGGGGGTTGATCAAGTTTTGATTTTTCAGGTCAAATAGTTTCAGGTTAGCGCTCGGAGAGTAGGTTTTATGATTTATCTTGGACGGACATGTGGAGGTGGCGGTGAGCCGAATGTAGACGTTTGAAAAAGCATGTTTAGAAAGCTTGGGCAGACCTGGTCTAGGTATATGTTTCTGAGATTAAAATAGCGGGCCTAGCTGTGGCAAACAGAAACCTTTAATTTTTGGCAGAGCAATCTGAATTTTGCGATAGAATAATAGTGGATTGCGAGTTTATGGAACTTCCAAAAGTAAGTCGCACCCAATAAGAATCTCTGCCTAGGAATGTTCACACATCTAACAGACAAAAATGTTTCATCTTTTCATCAGATTTATTGGATAAGTGTAATAAATTGAAAATCAAAGCAAATCTCCCATTCTTACCATCGCTGCTTAATCCTTCCTCAACTGGACGGTTTCCTCCTTGATGCCGTCCTTAGTAATGATATTGATTATAACCGAATCTCCCGTGTAGATGTCCCGTTCCGTAGCGGAAATGAAAGTATCCTTAATAATGGAGATGGCCTTATCCAGCTGCACTGGAGTCGGTTCAACGTTGACCATATTTTTCAATCCGATCTGGTTATCGAGAACCGGTTGCAGCAATGGTCCGGCCGAGCCACCTGCACGGTAGGTAGTCTTTTCACAATGCCCGATAGGATCGTAGCTGTAGATTACACCCTTTCCATCCTCGTCCAACCCGGCAAGGACATTGGACACGTAGTACGGGAAGAACCGCCGATTGTACATCAGAATAGACAACATTTGAGCCACTGCTGGAGTTGACATGTTCTTCTGGTGTTGATCCTTGTACATTTGCATTCGCACTTTGACTAAGCTGGTCAGAGCAAGAGTATCGCACCAGCATCCCGTCGAGGCAAGTACTGTTCTATCGGACATCCGGAACAGTTTGTTCTGCGTACGCGTATGAATGGAATATCCCGAACTCAAGCGAGTGTCCGCTCCAATCACTGCGAAATCATCTCCAGCAATTGCAACCACGCTCCTACAAGAACAAAATAGTATAAAACAATAATTCAACGTTAGTTTTCTTGTAAAACGACTTGTCATCCAAGCTCAAGCCATAACCTAACCGGTTGTCAGACAACAAAACTTTGAACTAAAAAATAACTTACCCTCCGTTAGATTCATACGGGTAGAATTGAACCTGGCGCACACCGGGGACTTCGTATTCTGGAAAGTTTTCAAAACCCAGCATCTTGATAGTAATTACAAGGAAAAATGAGAACAATTCGCGAGAACAACACAAATTCTGCTGACTGTTGACTGCTAAGGTTTTTGATTTGACGGACGACAACGAAAGCGAGCGAGTGAGATTGGCGGACACAGGGGTGTATTCAGGATGTGTTGTTATTTCTGACATTCGACGTGATGTTAGCTCAACACGATAAGAATCGTATACTCATATTTAGGTAAATATACACACTAAGTCCCAGCAATAAAGCTAATCATAATGAAATTCGCTGGTGCTCCTCATTTTTAGGTAACATGCCTGTTACTCAGAAAATGAGTTTAAACCCTCAGGAAAAAATTAGGCTAAATAGTTTAATGACGGTAATGCCATAGAGGTAACTCTAAGACTAGAAGGTCCCGAAACAACGTGCTCAACTTTTTGGCTCAGCTCTGGTACTCTCTTCGGTCCCAAGCTAATCGATTCACCCCTCGAAACATAGGAAAAACCAATAACCCCTCATTTTATCTGTCAAATTTTCATAGCGAATCAAAACAAATATTGCGTAGTACTAGAATTTCGATTAGAATAGGGTACGTTAATCGTTTGCTTGGGACCAATAGGCTAATAAAGTGGTGAGCCAATTTAAAATCGTTAGTTTCGTATTGATTGTTGGTAATGCCGTGATCAGACTCGAGAGTTATAACATTTTATAACGGTTGTCAAATAATTGCAACACAGAGACCACCATCAAGATAGCGCTATAACATGTTATAACCATAGAGGTATCTCTAAGACCACTGGGTCCCGAAGAAAATCATTATTATTTTTGGCTCACTCAGTACCAGAACAACGGTCCCAAGCAGTCCCAAGCTATTTCACTCACCCCTGCATGTTCTGCATGAATCCACACACCCCTGATGTTATCTGTCAAACTTTCATAGCGAATCAAAACAAACATAGTGTAGTAATAGAATTTCAACTAGAATAGGGTACGTTAATCGTTTGCTTGGTACCAATAGGCTACTAAAGTGGTGAGCCAATTTAAAATCGTTAGTTTCGTATTGATTGTTGTTATAACCATAGAGGTAACTCTAAGACCACTGGGTCCCGAAGAAAATCATTATTATTTTTGGCTCACTCAGTACCAGAACAACGGTCCCAAGCAGTCCCAAGCTATTTCACTCACCCCTGCATGTTCTGCATGAATCCACACACCCCTGATGTTATCTGTCAAACTTTCATAGCGAATCAAAACAAACATAGTGTAGTAATAGAATTTCAACTAGAATAGGGTACGTTAATCGTTTGCTTGGGACCAATAGGCTACTAAAGTGATGAGCCAATTTAAAATCGTTAGTTTCGTATTGATTGTTGTTATAACTCTGTAGTCTGAACGTACTATATAAGCTTCAACTCAGATTAACCTTTAATAACGTCCCTGTTTGAATGATCTGCAAAATTTTTGTTTAGAGTCGTGTTGATTAACTCTGATGTCGGCATCAAAGCATCCGAATATTCTTGTTACGGATTAAATCTGAGGATAATACCGGTTGGAGCTTACCACCATAAAAGCAACCGGTGGAAACTAACGATTTTAAATTGGCTCACTACTTGACTAGCCTATTGGTCCCAAGCAAATCGATTGACGTAACCCATTCTAGTCGAAATTCCAGTACTACACTATGTTTGTTTTAATTCGCTATGAAAGTTTGACAGATAAAATGAGGGGTGAATCTTTCCTATGTTTCGAGGGGAGCATCGATTGGCTTGGCACCGAAGATAGTACCAGAACTGAGTCAAAAAGTTGAGCACGTTTCTTCGGGACCTACTAGTCTTAGAATTACCTCTATGATAAAAGTTTGAATACATTTCTATTAACCTGACTGGCCCATAGTTATAGCTACCCTAATATTTGTTATGGTTATCATTCAAACCGTTCTAGGAATAGTTCTATCATTTGGGTTTTTGTTCATGTATGGAATTTTTTTTATTATGGTTTATACTGAGGCAAATAAACTTGTGAATTCCATAACCATATACAACATAATAAACCTTAACAATTTTTATTTTTTTCATTTTTTTCATAAGACACTTATGTATTGCATATGCGCGACTTTTTAATGATTATCGTACTACAGGAGCTAGTTCTTACACGAGAGTTTTCAAGCGTTGATAGATGTGAGCTCAAATCACGTATTCAATCATCTGAATGTTCCGAGGGGGGCGACACATCTAAATCTCAATTCTAGATGCTCGAAATATCTCACACTAGCGAATCAATCTTCTAAAAATCTTCTTTCATTTCTCGCATCTACTTGCATCGCGCATCATCTTTTTGCAGGAAATCTCCAAAATCGTGATAAATCTTCTTTCTATCTACTCAGCATACACGCAGCTAGCCACAACAAAACACAATAGTTCCTGCATCGTAGATAGAGTCTTCCCCCTCGCAATGTTCAAGGTTTGACCTCGTAAAAAAGCCATGGAGGAGCAAAAAAATGTATTGTAACCAAACAATAGACTTTATAAGTTTAAATACAATATATGGTTAATGCAGGGGGAACGACACTCATTTGGATGTATTTTTTCAGTCTAGTAATTACTTGGGATTTTCGGGGAAAAACATAATTGATGGGATTTTTTTGAGTGTGTCGTGTTGACGAAAATAGAGCAGGGATAGAAAAAATAGATGGGAATAGATCAGGCAATTGATGTGATGTGAGGGATGTTAAAAAATTTCAGAGGGATACTAGTCTGAACGCGTAGAGGATAGGTGTAGAGTCGGTGTATAATGAGTCACGCCAAGAGAAAAACAGTTGAACTCGCATCACGGTTTTCGAAAGATTCCCTTTCTTTTCACTTGGCAACAGAGGACTGCTACATCAACTTCAAATGACTTCTAGCGAGCAAAAAAAAATAGCGGCTGTTGTAAATCATTCTATCAGTGATTTTGTCAAATCATCTTAACAAAAAATAGTAGAAATTCTCATTACTGATCGTTACCAAACGTATCCCATGACAATTTAATGCTCACTGAGTGTTTATGATCATTTCTTCGATTATATTTTATATTTTATTGCGATACCTTTCGTGGACTTTTAATAGCATCGTAATGTTTGTTTACTTTGCACGATAGGTAGCCGGTTTGACAGTTCAATAGGTAGACTTGGCTTCACTCTTGGCGTGACTCATTATACACCGACTCTAGATAGGTGTAAAAAGAAGCAAAATTTGCTGCAATGAAGCGTCCATGAATTACGTAACGCTTATAGGGGGAGAGGGGGTCACCTATATCGTTACGAATTATACATAGGAGAGGAGTAGTAAAGCTTTGCGTTGCGTAAAAAAGAGAACATTTTGTTTTTTTTTTCGTTTCTTGATGTAAAGTTTGAAAATACAGGTCTTTTTTGACGTTTTTGGCAACGACAACGAAGGCTATCATCACTAAATCTTGCTTTACAAAATGGATCTGTTTTAATTTTATAAATTGAGATTTTTGCTATCTTGAACTTTTATGAAAAGGAGGTACTCGATGGTACGCTGATCTTTTGTTTTTGTTTTGAATATTAATAATATAATTAATTACCTAAAAATAAAAAAATACAAAACGAAATCAAACAATAATTAAATGAAAAGGCGGGGGAGGGGGGCTTATAGAGCGTTGCGTAATAAATAGAGGGGGGTCATTTTCAGTGTACCGTTTTGTTCCAAATGGGGGGGGGGGGGGTCAAACATATTGATTTTTAGCGAAACGGAATTAATGGACACCGCTCAGGACACCGCCCAACTATAATAATCAAAGCTCACAGCTCAAGTGCAGAAAACGGTTCCGCACCGAAAAGGTCGAAACTGCACAGTAGGATGAACGGGTGATGGCGATGGATTACAAGGTTCCAGTTAATATTCCCAGCTGTATTTGGACGGGAATTTGATCCGCAATATTCTCGCACAGAAATACATCACCCGGTGGGTGTCTTACTTCACCATTAGCTCTTTCTTATCCGAACCCTTGACCAGCAGCAGAGACGAGTAAAACTTGGGCCGAGTGGAAAAAACGACCTGAATTCCTTTTCCACCTGCTTGTCGTAGGGGGTTTCATTGGTAAGGCTTTTCCAGGGGCTAGAATCAGCAGTTCGAACGAAATCAACAGTTGCTTCGCGCCTGTTCGGTAACTTCCATGCTACAACACACAGAGACCCGGGCTCTTATCCGTCGAATTCGATCGGTTTGAGTCCGGGAAATGGATGTGCGTTGCCGTCTCCTCCGTGATGCACTTGATGTTTTTTGCCCCCGAGACCGATTATAGACGAATGGTCCGTCATCTTTTTTTAGTTTTCGCACCGATTTTTTACCGGCATGGTCAGCTGACATACGTGGTGTTTGTTGTGGAGAGTGTTGTAAACTGACAGTGAGTATGGTAGAGTGCTTCGCGGTTGACCTGAAAACTTCGAGAAACTGCACGGCTTGCTTGACAATTTGTGTGCATGCAGAAGTGATAAGTTGGGAATAGAAAGAATAGATAGGATGGATTGAAATTTTGTGCACGTTGAAAATTATATGAGAGGTTTGAGTAAAAATGGGATAATCTTGAAGTGTCGTTCCCCCTGGGTTAATGGGAAAATCTACAAGAAGGTTGTTATGTATCTTCTTAACTAAACAAAAACTCTTTTTTTCGAACAAACTTGAGCCATTTACCATTACTATTAATATTTTTCTATTGTTCACAATTCATGCTACATAGGATTTTTGATTTTTTTTAAATTGTTTTGACTTATGAATTATGTTTCATGTCAAAGTAATTATCGAAATTAGTTCCGACTGACTGTAGGGGAAACTCTTCCGGTTTAATAACCTCCATAGCAAACACGGCTCTTTATTGGGAGCTTTTTTGTTGGATGGATGTATATATGGAATTACAACTTGAATTACAAGATTGTCGAGAAGATTGTTATCATAGTGTAACATAATTGGTAGCGTAAATACGAGTGTGCATGTAGTAATGGTTTTTTTTTTAAAGTTCTGTGTGACTTACGTGTAATTCCCCTAGTGTAATATGACTGAAATATCATTTGCCGCCTTTTCCGGCTGCTGTGAATATGACATCCAGCTCATAAGTAGCAACTCGAGTGATTCTTCCCATTCAGCATCTTTTCTTCGATGGATATTTCGGCATTATTTGCTGGATCTACGAAGTGATCCAAGTGCAATTGACATTCCAACCCTAATAAACAAATACCATAAACGAACTGTATCCCGGATGGGTAAACTATCGCACAAATGGTTTGGATGATACCCCGAACACGTCGTTAAGCTCTCTTTTATGGTTATTTTTATTAGGGAAATGGTAAGTTCAATATTTTCAATGTTATAGTTTCGGATTTTTAGATTCTTTTTTAAATCAGACTACGCAATTTGCCAAGACGATCTGTTAAAGGATCAAGCCCTACGGAAGCGCTACGCAACGGATAAACGGTTCTTATGAAGTTCTTAATTTATTTGCCTCAGTGTAGTGTTCTTCTTTGCTATAAGGAGATTCCCTCATATTTCCTCATATTCCATCATAGGTACCATACACAAAGAATATCATAGATAGTGCGACCACACCGCATAGAGTTGGAATGATATTCCGTATTGGTGGTTAGCCACTTATTCTTATGGTTAAATAATATTTCTCGGGTTTCTATCCGATGAACAAGAGTGTGCGTGAAACCACGGGGTTACTTTTAAAGTAATTGTGATATTGCGATACCCTTTTTTGTTCTACGTCTTCTTCTTCTTCTTCTTCTTTTTATTCTTAATTTTTACATATGGAAGATGAACTTCAGTGTTCGTGAGATTGTGCTTGTCAAGGAACCAAATTTTGTACATTTAAATCAAAAATATAGGTATATGTTTATTAAATAAAAATATGAATAGTTTAAAGCAAATTAAAAAAATGTTTTCAACAAAAATGTGTATGTTTGAATTAAATTCAAAAGCATATTTATTTCATCAATACACAATCTGGGTAAACAACTTTTAGCGTGTCCTCCTTTTTATGCTTCTTGTTTACATTCGGCAAACTCAACCGAAAACGCCCTGCAAGCGTCGAAACCAAAGTAGAGGGTCCGGAAACTCACACAAGCAGGTGTTCCAAGCTCGACAAAACCGGTGGAACCCCACAATATCAACGTCACTACATGTCACTACGTTGTTTCTGATGCCGATCCCCATATCATCCTGACCCCCCACTCGACGTCGAAAGAAAAACAGATCATCCCCCAACACCAAACGTAGAAAGAGGGCGATATGAGGACTAGCGTCAGAAACGACCATACGTATTAGCTTTACAAAGTTTCAGCGGTTTTACTGATCTGAAACCCACGGAAACCCACCTCGACGGTCCCCCGGATCTCGGACCTAGATCCCAGCAACCAGGTGTCCTGTCTGCAGATTTCCATTTATTTGCGAAACATTTGAAATATTTTGTTTTATCCCGCATTCAAATGCAAAAATAATTCCAAAATATGTTTGTTTATTTTAAACATGAAAAGCATGTTTAAAAAAAAAACATATTTTTTTGTGATTACATATAGTTGTCAAATCAAACAAAAATATTCACGTTTATTTTCAACACGAATATTTTTAAAATAAACGTAACATTATTTTTGTTTTAAGCATTATTGTCAACCCTAATAAAAATTGTATGGTTAATTTGCTTAACGACGTGTTCTGGGTATCATCCAAACCATTTGTGGAATAGTTCAATGATTTGGGTTATCGTTCGTTTATGGTTATTTTTTTATTAGGGAATGGCTTCAAACATGGAATACGTTTGAAATCAACCTACACAGCAAACAAAAAATTAATATCGATCAATGTAATTCAAGCTGATGTATGAAATAATGATGTAATAACAAAAAGTAGATACAATATTACATCAATGAATGTAATTTTTTTTCGCAAAATCGATGTACATCGTACAACGTTATATTACACAACCGATGGATTGACCTGGTTGCAGCAATTTGGATGTAATTTTCAACAACTTTTTTTCTGTGAGTTTATGTTTGTGGCCAGAACAAACTAAGTTTACGATTAAATTTACCTCAAATATGTTTCGATGGTAATTTTTTCTGCGTGTAGATCTCTAAATTTTTGTTCATTTATCCGGCTTTTTTAGCTCTGACTGTAATATTATGCAGATAAAAAGAGCTAACGATGCGTACAGTATTGTCAATATTTCATAACAGTTTTGCTTTTGGTCGAGTCGAGTTTTGTACTTTTTGCGACTTTTTAATTTCGTTCAATAATTTTATATTGAATAACAACATTCACTGAACAATTAATAACTTGAAGTAATGGCAACGTACCGTTTGGGCACCGTTAGTCGCTCAGTTGTGCGTTTTTCGACTGGTCTCGGAGTGGTTCGCAGTCAACAGCGACACAATGTGGTTAGGTTGTTAGGTAGTTCTGCCGGGAGACAGTCTTCCGGTGGTTCGGTGCGACTTGCAATGAAAGGAATCGCTGTTGGAGCTGTACTGGGAACCGGCTGGTCTGGTTACAATTATTTCAGGGGTGCCCCAACTGATCATATGATTAACGAGAAGATTGGGCCTACGTATTTAGATCGATTACCGGATGTTAAAATTATGAGGAAGGTTGTGAATCCGAAGGATGACTCCGGCTTGGAACTGGTGCTGTTTCAATTTCAGACGTGTCCTTTCTGTTGTAAGGTAACACATGTTTTGAATATATACTACTAGGCACACTTTAACTCCATCTGTTAATGGATTTTAGGTGCGATCGTTTCTAGATTACAGTGGATTGTCCTATTCGGTCGTAGAAGTAGACGCGGTGCTGCGACAGAGTATCAAATGGTCTGGTACAAAGAAGGTGCCAATCTTGCTGGCAAAGACACAAACAGGAAAATACGTTCAATTGACCGATTCAAGCATGATTGTCTCAGTGTTGTCTAGTTATCTGAACGACAAAAACCAAGATGTTGGCGAATTGGCCAAGTTTTATCCGTCCATTTCATTCGTCAATGAGGCCGGTAGGAAAACGAGCGATATTATGAACAAGTACTTTCTCATGTTGCAAGATTCAAAACAGCACAAAGCGAATGATGCTCAAGAGTAAGTTACGCGTGCATCCGATTTAAGATTGTTTGAATATATCTAAATTTGTCACATCTTGCAGTGAAGAGCGGAAGTGGCGTTCGTGGGCAGATGATCATCTGGTACATCTAATCTCACCGAATGTCTACCGTACTAAAGACGAAGCGATGGAAACTTTTGAATGGTTTTCGGACGTCGGCGAATGGGATGTGCATTTTCCCAAGTGGGAACGGGACTTGATGGTGTACGTTGGAGCCATGGCCATGTGGGCTATCAGTAAACGGCTTAAGAAGCGACATCAACTCTCGGACGACGTTAGATCACACATTTACGATGCATGCGACAAGTGGATAGCGGCTATCGAGAAGAAGAAGTCACCGTTCCTAGGTGGACAAACGCCGAATCTTGCCGATTTGGCAGTGTTTGGCATTTTGAACAGCATGGAAGGCTGCCAGGCTTTTAAGGATTGTTTGGACAACACAAAGATTGGCGGGTGGTTTTATGGAGTGCGCAAAGAAGTCATGAGCAATCGGGGACAGGTGGTTTAAATAAATGATTCATAATTTATTGCCAGTCGTTGATTTTAGGATTGTTAATATATGTAGATTCTTATATCAAGATTAAATGTGTTTCCTTACTGGATATAATTCTTTAAAAAAAAACGTCAATGCCATGCGATTTACACAATGTTTACAAACCCCCTGTTGCTGATCAATGAGTTAATTAATCACGATATTGCCCTTTAGATATTTTTGTGATAGTCAAGAGTGAGGTTTTAGAGTATTTTATTGAATAGCTTGAGACATTTCTTGCAAAAGTTTTCTCCCCTTAAAACGATACATGTATAATTATGTGAAACTGATGAATTGTTCTGTTCGTTATTAGTGATTAGGGGTGATTAATATTTCTTGTTGTGTTGTATTCGGCAAAATAGATGACTACACTGAGGAATCCTTATTCCCGGATGGTTTTTATCGTTCGTATGATTTTTTTTCAGGATTCTTGGACGCGGTTAGTTAGCTGAAAAGGATAGCATATCCGGTCAGCATTCTACCTCTCGAAGCTAGAAACCCGAAAAAAGACTTAAAGAATAAAAAACCATCCGGGAATAAGGATACCCGACTGTAGCTTTACTTAATTTTGGGTCGCTAGTCTAAAGCGGAAAAATACCCTAAAATCGCTTTTATGTGGAAATTGCACGGTTGATCAGATCGTTCGAAATTGAGCTGAGTCGGCTCGATTTCGTCAACAGTGGATTTACTTAAAAGCGAGTTGAATTTTCCGGGAAAAAAAAAACTTTTCGAATATGATGAAAATAGATAGAGGTTTCACTCAGTCTATTAGTATACTCATAGACCAATAAACGGTTCATGGATTTTCCTCATATTCGAGAAGTTTTTGAGTAAAACTACTTTTGACGAATTGGCTCAAATCAATTTTGAGTTTGTCTGACACGGTCTGTGATTCAATTGCTACATTCAGGCCCTTCGCAATGCTGTTGTATTTTATAAGGACTGTTTCAATTGACCACTTTGTTAAGCAGTTTTGGCTTGACTTTCTACCAGCGATTTCACAAAACTGGACCAACTAATTTCTATTTTTTTTTATAAAACGCACAAATGTTGGCTACTTTTCTCGAGGTTCTAGAAGAAAAAATCTCAAAATAATGTTTTATTTCAAAGTTCGAGTGGTAGTAAACGTCATTTTAAGTGCTCGAATGAAGTGGTTAATTTGAAACTAGAACAGAAACGCACCTCTCGCAATGCTGAGTTGCAGTTTCATTATTCGAGCACGATTTTGCACCAGATTTGCAACTGCTCGACTATTCGGTTTTATTTCTGAGCGGGTTTGAAACACGAATGGAACTCTGTTTCAAATTTCTTTGAATGTTGTATTTATTTATGTTTCTCGTAAATGTTCAGAGAACTTCATATAAGTTGAGAATATTCAATGCAAATTTGGAAATTATACATAAATGTTGGGAGCTTCTGGGAAGTTTTGAGGATATTTTATAGAAATTCGGAGAACTTTTAGGCCTATTCTGCGCGGCGTGTGAGGTGAGGTGACAGTGAAGTGACAATTGTCACCTCGGGTGAGGTGACTCTCCATTTGATTTGCACGGAGAGTCACCTCACCCGAGGTGACAATTGTCACTTCACCATCACTTCACTGTCACTTCACCTCACACGCCGCGCAGAATAGCCCTATTTATTTCAATTACGAAGAGCTTCACAAAAAATCGGAGAACTTAAGTAAACTTATGGAAATAGCATAGACAAACAGACATAAAACTCGCAAGGACAGATTAAGTTTTTCTTTCACTGCGCGGATGGTGATTCGTGGATCTTTTTTAATCTCAGGGATAATCCTGGTGTCTGTTCGTGAATCACTTTTTCGTTTTTGTCCTCTTCCAGATTGATCAGCAACACTTCCAAGCAATTGATACTTTAAATAGATCTTCAGAGTTGCATCACGGCTTATCCCATATTTTTCGGCTATTTTGCGATGCGATTCATTTCGTTGGAAATCACGCAGGATAAGATTTCGGACCTGCAGAGAAATTTTCTTTCCGCCAAAACCATGAAATACGAGGGGTGTGCCAATGTTATTCAGACGGTTTAATATTTCTTCCGCTGGTGGATTTTTTTTTATGCCATACCGGAGTATCCTTATGAATTTAATTTACAGTTGGCTGAAACTGATGTTTTTTTTTCAATATGTGCTATGAAATTTAACAAATGATGCTAGTTTTATATTCAAAGTGTTTTTTATGTTACTTCATACGCGAAGTTAACGATTTTCAGAGTTGGTTGGAAATGCTAACATGAAACTTTAGTGTGATGATTTATTAGCTAGAGAATGATCTTTAGAAGAGGGTAGGTGGATAGTTCCGTTAGAGTACGGCAGTATGAAAATTGAATAGAAGTTGAAAATGAGCGAAGGGCCATTAAAGCGACAGTTTTCAAGATAGACGCACATTTTTGCCTAGCCCGTACGATGTACGCGGGGACTTGAAGTATGTCTCCAAGTCCACAGGCAAAAATGTGCGTCCCTCTTGTTGCTCATAAACTGACTGCGGCTGTGGAATAGTTCTAGCGACGTTTTCATCACTACCTAAAGCCCCACGGTGCGAGAGCGTACATCGTACGGGCTAGGCAAAAATGTGCGTCTATCTTGAAAACTGTCTCTTTAATGGCCCTTCGCTCATTTTCAACTTCTATTCAATTTTCATACTGCCGTACTCTAACGGAACTATCCACCTACCCTCTTCTAAAGATCATTCTCTAGCTAATAAATCATCACACTAAAGCTTCATGTTAGCATTTCCAACCAACTCTGAAAATCGTTAACTTCGCGTATGAAGTAACATAAAAAACACTTTGAATGTAACAACTCAAGGCGGGAGTAGCCGTCAACAATGCTGATGATGGTACAGCACGCAACAACCACCCTACTGCTTTCTCTCTGAGATGATCACGTTGGTCATGACGAGAGGAGCAACACAATAGTTGGGTAAAGAAGAACTGCATTATAACACACCATCGACTGGAAATGCTCTCGCACCGTGGGGCTTTAGGTAGTGATGAAAACGTCGCTAGAACTATTCCACAGCCGCAGTCAGTTTATGAGCAACAAGAGGGACGCACATTTTTGCCTGTGGACTTGGAGACATACTTCAAGTCCCCGCGTACATCGTACGGGCTAGGCAAAAATGTGCGTCTATCTTGAAAACTGTCGCTTTAATGGCCCTTCGCTCATTTTCAACTTCTATTCAATTTTCATACTGCCGTACTCTAACGGAACTACCCACCTACCCTCTTCTAAAGATCATTCTCTAGCTAATAAATCATCACACTAAAGCTTCATGTTAGCATTTCCAACCAACTCTGATGCTAGTTTTGTTAAGTTGATGTTTTAGACATTGTAACAGTTGGGGTACTCCCTGCCCAGCATTAATGAGACCCCCCTCTACACTGCCTCAGGGTCGGCATACACGTGTGACTATCGCGGCCAAGGAAACACTCAAATACTCTTAATACACCCCGATGAACTCTCTTTTTTTTTTTTTCCTTTGGTTTGTTTTTTCCGTCGATCTTGTTTTCCGTGCTGAGCACCAATGCTACCGACGTGCCAGGAAGGCAGCTCCCACACCTGGACCCTACCTATCGACTCATCAACTCATGAACCGGGGACCAACGGCTTTACTTCCCATCCGAAGGAAGACGTGATCAGAGATGTTATGCCTCAGAACATCCCGGCGGCGCCGACTGGTATTGAACCCAGGCCTGCTGGGATGAGAGGTAATCACGCTTACCACTACACCACCGGCGCCGTTAACGATGACCTCTCACACAGGTCTCGTTTATTTCCCTAACTTTCCCACTTTCTTATCGGTTATCTCCTACCTTAGCCTTCACTAGTTCTTCCTTCGTCTTCCGTAGTCGATGGGGGCTCCCTTCTCCTCCGTTCCGCTACACCTTCACCTTCACTTTCTCCTTTCCTTTGCTTCTGTTCTTCGTCCCTCGGTTTCGACTGTGGGTTGCCCAGTCGATTCACCTCTTAACCCTTCACTCTCCTCTTCTCCTACGGGTGCTCCCACGGTACCGTTTGCCGAGCCGTTCACGAACGGTATAACGTGTCCACGACGCTCAAGGCAGATCCACAATGGCGATGAACACGAACTAGTAAACGCGGCTGGTTCGCGCCGTAGATAAATGTTGACGGTAAACTACGGGGTCCTGGATATTTCAGTAGGTTGGCTCCTCCTCCACTACTGATCGAGTTTCGCGCCTCAAGACTCGTGCAGACTAATAACTTTAACTCGAATAACGATCTTTCACAATGATGTAGGGGAATTTACGTATTCTCGTCAATCTAAGCAGCGTCTGCACTTCTACTAGCATTTTCTCAGCGTCACGCACATATATGATGTGTCTGTTTGTTTACATTCATCTGCTGCTTGCTTCTCTATCCATTCCAATCGACAGAATTTTTCAAAACGTTTTGAAAGCGTTTTTACAACGCTCCAAACTTCTCAGGTGAGTGTGACTATTGTCGGCAGCCTCTTTTTCTTCGGCAACCTTCCCATTAGAACTGCGTGTTAACCAGCTGTTCTATTATCGGCAACTCGAAATCAACCCCATTTTGTAGTGCGTATGCTTTATTTGAAGAAAAATGTAGCATTACTGGATTGCTCGATCGTTCAAATATAATCAGATTGAAGCTGAAAGGCTAAACAATCGTTTGGACACATTCAGGGAAGTGCGTTGATGGGAAAACATAGTGAAATTAACGTTTAAATTTTGGTTGCCGAAAACAGTCAATGGGTGCCGAAGCCAACATTTACCCTATATCACATTCGTTTTGGGTTTGTCTAGCTTGGTTTTCGACTACCACTTTTGACTTTTGCCAGGCAATTAGCTAGCAACGATGGCGGGTGATTTCCTTGCGCTCTCGCTCGTTGATCCATTTTCCTTCAGCCCAATTTCGCCCCATCAAGGCCCCCTTTACACCACCTCCCGATGGCCTCCAATCCTGCTGTCAGCGGC